AGTAGTAGTAGTTGTTGTTGTAGTGGTAATAGTGGTTGTTGTAGTACTATGTTCTGAGTATGAAAGACATACCAAAGTTTTTATTATTATTATTATTATTATTATTATTATTATTATTATTATTATTATTCCTAACCAGATAAAAATGCTTTACACCTATCTTTCTCCAGAAACGTCTCTGTCCTCTAACACCATAAAGGCCACTGTATCCAGAATATGGTCACCATTTCATTCCCGCTGCTCTGTAATGAGCACCCTCACACATTTGTGTTCTGAGACCCAAACACCCATCCGAAGGCAGCGGACGTCCGGGACAGGATGCCAGTCCATCTCAGAGGATCTACTCACATATTCACAGTACGGGCAATTTACCCAAAGCATGTTTTTGGGTGGGAGGGGGACAGCAGAATACCTGGAGGGAACCCACACACACTTGGGGAGAACATGGAAACCGGGATTCAAGTGGGGTTCAAAGCCCGATCCCTGGGGGTGATCCTGCACATGAAGCCACTGTATCCCCCCCCCTCAAATACCCCTGGGGCAACATATTTATTTGGTTTCACGACATAACTGCAAATGATCTGTGTGAGTCCATGCAACTCGGTGTAGAAATATTTTGTCCTGCGGGATCCCTATTTTTTTGACTGAATTTTTATTGCACTTTTTAAAAAAATTTGCTCTATGTAATGTAGTTTTAACTGGTTTCTTGTTTCTTTTGTTAACAAAGGAACGATGCTCAAATACTGTCATTTTTATTTAAAACCCAAGCAACCAACCAACATAAAGTACATAAGAAAACCGTAACATTGATTTTTAATATTAAGTCAGTCACATGTATCAGTCAGAATTGATATCAGCATAAAAAGACATGAAACTACGTGGAAAAACATCAGACACAATATGCAACCAAATACAATAAAAAGCATTTTGTAGTCAATGAGTTTTATTGAATTATCATATTACTTACATGTTTATATAAATACAGGACATTGTTAAATATTGAAATTTGTACTTGTAGCAAGTGTGCATGTACAGTGTAACGGATCTAACATCTATATTGCACTACTTGTTGAAATGCAATATTTTCTTTTAAAATAAAAATAAAAAACAACATCTTTTTGCATTTGTTTGATTTCAGCTGAATAATAAAGTCAGTGACTTGTAGGATGGATGCTATGGTGTGACTGAATTTCCGGCACATTAAATATTTCACACTTTGAGGAGAGACACACCTGCTCGCTGCTTTACACTCAGTGGCTGCTCAGCAGGGTTTTCTCCTCCTTTGACCCATCCAAGCTGCCGTCTGTACTCTGGAGCCGACTCTGATCACTCTCCCGCTTAAGGTTCATCTCGTTCTGCCGGCTGCCCTCCTCACGGTCCACCGGCATCTGCCAGCTAAGCGAGGCGGAGCCGTCGGGATACTTTGTGTACATCTTCTGCTGCTTCTGGACCGGCCGTCGTCGTCTGCACTTCACTCTAGTGCACAGCAGGTAAAGGATTTCGGCAACATTCAAGGCCAACGAGACGCACGACACCACCAGCATGAAGATGATGAAGATGGTCTTTTCCGTCGGCCGGGACATGTAGCACTCAACCGTGAACTTGCAAGGTTTCCTGGAGCAAGGAAACATGGGAACCATAATAAAGCCATACAGGTAATACTGGCCCACGATGAAGGCCGTCTCAAAGAGGATTTTGAAGAGCAGCTGCGTCATGTAGCTGCATAGCAAGTTGCCTCTGATCTTGATTTTGCCCCTGTCGTCGGTGTACTTGGGGGTCTTTAGGGTGCCGTTCTCTTTGTGCTCCTTCAGCTGCTGCCGGATCTTCTTCTCCTGGTGGATGACATGCAGGGCATGTCCCAGGTACATCAGGGTTGGGGTGGCCACGAAGATGATCTGCATGACCCAGAAGCGGATGTGGGAGATGGGGAAGACGTGGTCGTAGCAGACGTTCACGCAGCCGGGCTGCTGGGTGTTACAGATGAACCCCGATTGCTCATCCCCCCACACGCTCTCGGCCCCCGCACCCAGGACCAAAATCCTGAAGATGAAGAGCACGCTCATCCATATCTTCCCGATGACTGTGGAGTGAGCCTGAACCTTGTCCAGAAGTTTGGACAGAAACGACCAGTCTCCCATCCTTCTGATTTTTCTTTAAAGGACAGAAAATTAATGATTACATCAGCCCAGGATTAACTGCAAACTTAACCATCAAATGTGAACGTTTCACTTGGGTCAAACAACGTCACGATCATCCCAGCGGCCAGTTCAAACAAATGAACAACACAGTCGAATATTTAAAAATAAAAAAAAATCAACAAAAAGCCTGAAATAGGCTGAGCAGCACTTATTAAAAATTATTACGAATGACTGATCTCATGAAAATTCTGTCAACATGTTTGAACACATTTTGTTTATCTCTAGATAATTCCATCCAGTTACTATACTATAATATTCTACGTATTGATTTTATATCTACGTATACACTCCTAGGCAGAATATGCCAGAGTTTTGTAGTTTGCTTAATTATGAGCTATGATCATCAAAGATGATAATTTCCTTTAAGATTTTTAAGAATATATACAAACATACATATAATGTAAATATTTAGAAGGAATTAACATGTACAGTACACATTTGAAGCATACATTTATTTCAGAATTTGTCCTCAAAAACATACATGCTTTTTTTCCAGAAGGTAAGTCTTTAGAATTGATAAAATTGTGCTCTTACCTTTACAACACGACCTGTTCCTTTTATGTCAGCTAGCACCTCTAAGGAGAGAGAGTTACTCTGGCTTGGACCTTGAGTTTTTGGCTTGTGGAAAGTTGTGCAATCGACGCACAGACTGGCAAGCGGTCACGTTCCCGGACACTCAGCAAATATTACAGAGGGAATTCGAAAAGCTAAACTCCCGATGCAATAATATGTTGGCAGGCATGTTAATGATTGATAGGACCTCACAATAAAGGTCAAATACGTTCAAAAAGAGAGTTTCCTTGTCATCTTCTGACGTGATATTTATACATAATATATAATGTGGTATAAGTGGTGAAAAATGTCAGCCGAAAATATATTTTGTGCATTTTTACTAAAGGAAATATTTGTCACAATGCATTGAATTACGCTGAAATCTCTGCATACTTTTAATATAATTACAGTATAGGACAAACCAGAATCTAGTCTGTGCATCTGATATTTGATTTAATTTTTTATGAAAGCTTAGTGTTTGTCATGTTTGTTTTACAGAAATTCCAGCAAAAACATCCACCGCCGATTATCCATCAGGCCGCTGATGCCAGACTGAGAATCTCAGCTCTGCAGGTGCGGCGCGAAATGGTAACAGAAAGTTCCAGTACATTTTCTTGAAATCTCAATGAACATTTATTTATTGCCAATCACAAGAAAATTTGTTTAATATTAATTAGTTGCTAACAGCGTTCCTCCACTCAGCAGAATGACTATGAAGTTGAATCTAATCTAAAGTAATAAAATCTCAGGCAGCTACATGCAAATATAAGCTAAATGTACAATACTGTGCAAAGTCTTCGGCAGTCAAAGACAATGTGTAAGGGCTATTTATCTGGGTAGAAAATGTAGACTTGCTCAGAAAACAATACAATTCAAAATTCAAACATACTGTATGGGTGACTTTAGGAGGGGTTTTGAAATGGCTAAGCTGACACACTTTGACAGGAGTAATACCATAGTTTTACATCAACATGAAGATCATTTTCTTTGACTGTGTAGTACTTGTTAGCTGTTTAAATCTGAACTTCCTCCAGGTTGATGCTGTTGTCTTCTGAGACCAGGCTCTTGGTGAGACCGCTCCCTAGCTTTCTACCGTGGAGCTGCAGCTCCATATTCACCCAGTTCTGAAGCGCTTGGTCCTTGTTTCTAAGCTCATCTCCGTCGTCTGTCACCCTGTAGTCCTGCTTCCTCTCCATGCACGAGCTGACCTTCCTAGCGCACAGGTAGAAGATTTCAGCCAAGTTGAGGAGCAGTGACACACAGGCGACCACCAGCATGAACCAGATGAAAACATTCTTCTCGGTGGGCCTGGACATGAAACAGTCCACTTGGTGAGGGCATGGAAACATGCCGCAGACATAGCGGGCCTGGAGATTGAAGCCAAACAGATAGTACTGACCCATGATGAAGCCAAGCTCCAAGAGGATCTTAGTGATCACGTTGGCCAAGTAGCTCTGCAAAAGGCGCCCATGAAGGCTGACCTTGCCCGTGCTGCTGATGTATTTTAGGGTCTTGCACTGTTTCTTCAAGATCAGACTGGTGCATTCATCCTGGGCCTGCCTCTCCATCTTTTGTCGGATCTTCTTTTCCGTGTGGATGATGTGCATGACATGGCCCAGGTATACCAGGGTAGGCGTGGACACAAACACAATCTGTAGCACCCAGAAGCGGATGTGTGAGATGGGGAAGGCGTGGTCGTAGCAGACGTTCTCACAGCCGGGCTGCTTCGTGTTGCAGATGAAGTCTGACTGCTCGTCCCCCCACACCTTCTCGGCCCCCGCCCCCAGGACCAAGATCCTGAAGACGAAGAGGACGGTGAGCCAGACCTTCCCGATGACCGTGGTGTGGGTCTGCACCTTGTCCAGCAGACGGCCCAGGAAATCCCACTCACCCATCGTTCTCTGATTGATGGCACTGAAAAACAGAGGAAGGCGGGTTTTGTTAACACAAATTCATGTATCAGAAATCGTCGAGCTGGCAGAAAAGCCTCTGTGTCTGTGATCAGAAGGTCACAGGTTCAAGCCCCATTCTTAGCAGAATAGTCACATGCCTGTGGGCCCTGAATCCCGCAGTTAAAGGGGCGTTGCATGTTTGACACTCTGCAGTGGCCCCCAACCTTGTTTACACCTGCATGCATGTCTCATGGAGAGCAAGATGGGACAAGCACAAAGAGTACCTCCCCACAAGGATGAATAAGTATCACTTACCCAAAAAAATCAACGGCATAGTAGGCATACTCAGGAGTAAATTGTAATCAAGCATTTACACGCTCTTCAATAAATACTTCGTGAGACAGGAGTAAGGTATCTTCATAATACATTTCTAAATTTGATTGTAAGTGAATCTTTTTATTTGTCAGTATATTATCAAATGAACAATTTATTAATAGTTAAAGAGCAAAGGTTATGCCTGGGTTCTATGGTCAAACATCGTAATCAGCTATTTACCAGCTTTAGTAGGTGTGTCTGAGCAGGGAAATGTGCAAACTGTGTTGCAAACTGACCCCCCAAGCCTGGAATCGGGGAACCCTGCCTTAAACTAAAATGTTACTTGAAAAACATATTCCACATTACACCAAATCAAATGTAACACACATTATCTAAATGCTATTAAACAGTGTTTTCAGCTATACAGTATATTCTGAAATGAGTGTTTAAATGTCCTTTATTCAAGACTCACTTTCTATGTCAAAGGACCCAGAGAATATTTTGTGTAGTTTAATATAAGCTACGCGGCTTATCCAAAGTAGTGGGAACCAGGGACTCGACCTTGTTCAATCCCAAACATCAACTGTCTGTTATGAGTGCACAGAGAAATGTTAGAAGCACATTCATGCACTGACTGTCACTGTCCTCTTCCAAACCAGTTTATATTAATCAACTATTCCCATATTCATGACTAAACAAAAAGACAGAGTAATCACTAATGGTTTAGTGATATACAAATTTATTAATGGCATTTTGCAGAAACATGAATGCAGGACATTGCACAGGTGCGTCTGACATTTCTGATTTTTTGCACTCCAAAAACATTATATTGGCAGTAATCTTTGATTTTAAGTTTGCATATAGGGGATTTATAAATCATTATAAACTAATTGATGGTTGCTTATTGAATTATATTCGATTACATGGTCTGTCTGGTAAAAGTTTTAATAAAATACATTGGAACATTTTCCTGTACATAACTGGCTTGTTAATAAAAAATGTACCTGGACAATTCGTAAGTAAACTTTCAAATAAATTGTTCTCCAGTTATTTCAATCAAACGAAATATGCAAGTCTAAAAAATTTCATAGTAACACTTACGACCCTCCGCATTGTTTATATCATCTTAACCTGCAGACTGAATTCTTCCTGTTCATTCCTGCATTGAGCACTCACCCAAAGTCGCTTCTGTGCTCAACAGTACGCCGGACCAACACGCAGCTCTGAGAGTCCTTCCTTAGGCAGAAGATGTATGAGAGAATATTCAACCCTTCCTCTTCTTATTGTGGATGCTCCCTTTCGGGGAAAAAAACAACCATCCACAGTGGGTGGGCTTTAACCCAACAGGAACCAGTGGTGGATCAAGTGTAAAATGGACCAGAGGTCAAAAACTGGCAGTTGTGAATGACAATCCTCTGCACGTCAACCAGCAGGAGAAACAGCGACCCCATCCTGGTCACGTTTATTCCATTTTTTCGAGAGGTAGGCCTTTGCTTTCAAAAAACAGCCATCTACTGTATGTAAAATCCAGATGTTGCATCACTTAGAAATCTTGACAGAAAATACTACACAACTCATGGAAGACCAAAATACTTTTATTTACACTCTTCATACAGTTTTCATTGGGCACATCCAAGCTGTGTTCAGTTGCACAACCACAAAAACAAATATGTCATGAAGAAAAATAGCACAATAGGAAAAAAAACTGCAAATTACCTCCACAAGCACATACCTTAGCAACCAAAGCCAACACTGGTGGCTAGAAATATTGTAATAATTTTATAAAGGATTGCACTAATAAACAACAGCAAGTCAGTAAAGCCCACCGATTAGAATACTGTCACCTAGTAAAGCGGTTGAAAATCAGGACGAGTTGTTTACAACGCAACCTACCCAAATTACTATAACAACAAGAAATAGTAGAGACACTTAAAGAAAATATACACTTTGTCACTTCAATCACATTTTGCAGAAAACAGTGTCTTAAAGCTTCATCAAGACAGCCTGCTTTGACCCTGTGCACCAAACACATCGCAGCAACCAACTACTTCTAAATGTACAAATTTTACATTAATCACTATCCTGAAGGTAACAAGTCTTATCAACGTTTACATTCAGCTTAAAAAGCCTCGGCCAATGAGTTACCATCGAACTGTTAGATTTTAAGACACAAACAAATGTCAAGGTGTCTAACATTTCACATGCAAGCCTTTAAAGTTCAGGTTCACAATGACTGTGTTGCTGTTTTTCGCTGGAACTTGAAGTGCTTGACATCGTAGTGCTGTCAGATGACCGGGCTGGAAAGCTAGGAATGGGTGACCTACTGTGTTCTTGAGAACATGCGTGTTCCCCAAACCCAAATCCATTCAGGCATGTACTGAACAAGCCAAAACTGAAAAACAAAAAAGAGATTAGTTTACAACAGATTGCAATTCTCGTTCTGATCAGTACTGCTCCCTGAGATGTGCAGTGGAGTCCCTTTTGAGAACCGTACCAAACCATACTGGGTGATTTGCTGTTCCACAGAAGAATCTAATCAGGTTGAAGAAAGGTGGTTCTCATACTGCAGGCCCACGGACTCACAGGTGTATCGATTGTCAGATTTGTTCATTCACTTCATTTGATAAAGCAATAATGTTTAGCTTAGCCTAGCTTTTAGCTTAGCTTAGCTCCAGGACCAAAGCTTTTCCACTTTTGACCCTCTACCTCCAGACCTCTCTTCCCAAAGGCATCACCTGATGTACCTGCAGTGAATGTGGCCAGTATCCCGTTGTCCTGTGGGAAATGCCCAGAGTGGAGATGGCGTGCCGGGCATACACCTGAGGCTGAGGTTCCAGCCACCCACCACTGTGCCCGCCTTTGTCTGAGACTCCCCCCTCCTGGGACCTGATCCGGAATGGGATCAGGCTCTGTACAAAGACCCCTCTGTGTCGGTACTCATAATGCAGTGCTCGGCTGAAGTGATCCAAGTAGGCCTAGGAGCAAAAGTGTTACTCTGAGAATGATTAATCTGAAAACCACAGCCGGCATCCGTAACCACGACACCACAGCCGCCATCCGTAACCACAACACCACAGCCGCCATCCGTAACCACGACACCACAGCCGCCATCCGTAACAACGTCACTACAGTCGCCATCTGTAACAATGACACCACAGCCGCCATCCGTAACCATGACACCACAGCCGCCATCCGTAACCATGACACCACAGCCGCCATCCGTAACCACAACACCACAGACCCATTTCATAACCACAATACCACTGATTTTTTAAAGGCTACAATGTACTGACCGTGATTGCTGTAAAAGCCGCCTTGTTGGGAGTAGGTTTGCAACACAGTCCGGACGAGATGTTAACTACTGCCCCCCTGCCCCTCTCCGCCATGCCAGGGAGCACGATGCGCACCAGTAGTGTGGCAGCTGCCACGTTTCTGCTGACGGCGTCCCACAGGTGGTCCTCTGGCAGGCCGGCGAAGGCCTCTAGGGAGCCCAAGGACACGTCCATGCTGGTTATCAGGAAGCCTATATCTTTGTCCTTAAGCACATCTCTGATAGGCCGGCACACGGCGTGTCCCTCGCTGAAGTCTGCTTGCACAGACAAGGCAGCCACCCCGTGAGAATCGGCGATAGCCTTGGCTGTGCCCTCCACGCCCTGACCGTCGGGGCTGATTAGGATAATGCTGACGCCCTTCCTCGCCAACTCCTCCGCATACGCCTTCGCCAAATCTTCCGAAGCACCTGCGTTTAGCAAGTGGAGACGGAGACTGATCAGCAATCATCGTCAACTCAAGTTCCAAGTCACATCACCGCTATGACCATCAACATGCTTGTGTGCTAGGCAAGACCATAGCCATGGGGGGGAGGGGGACCAAGGCCATAATTATAATATACATCTGAATATTGGGGGAGATATGTCCCCCCAATGTATATTACAATTAAAAATATGAATTTTTAAAACCTCCATCCTTTAAGACTAATCAGGGACACTTCTGGAGATTTTTGGTCCCATGAAAGCATATCATATTGGGCCACCTACCCAGACCAATCCAATTATGTTCCAAATTCTTTTAGCCCCCCATTTACGGCGCCCCTTAAATTAATATATAATCAGCATCCACAGAAGGCCTCGCATTTCGAATATGAATGATTGACTGTTACAATTAGCATGCTATAGGCGCATAGTAACTGGCCGAATCGAGCGTACCCAAGATAACAGCCCACTCGCCGAATCGATGCAAAAGGTCCCCGCTGTGCATCAGTCGCGGAAGGAAATGCAGCCTGATCAAGCTGTAGCAGTCCCTGGCAAAGACGACGGCCCTACTGGTCGTGTAAACGGCGCCCACCAAGGCCAGCGCTTCCACATAACAATGGCACGAACGAGCAATTTCTCTGTACAGCAGCTGAAAGCTGTCAACAGCAGCCATACCCCCACTAGTTCTTTACACCTGTTAGAAAGATATGTTAGGGGTTACAATACCGACTAGCTCTGTAACTATGACTTACCGCTGAGCTACGCAAAGACTAAAATCCTAAAAATTACAAATAAGAAACTGCATTACTTTCTGTACTAACGTTTACAGAGCTCTCCAATTCACCGGCGAGTTGACATGGGTAGAGCTCACCCGGAAGACATTCAGGCAGAACCTGCGATCACGTGACTTTCACTCTAGCGTCATTTCATTAGCTAAAACAAATCCTGGATGCTTTGCACAAGACTTTTCCTCATGTACCAAAATAATTACGAATCAATAGGCTTTTAATATATGTAAGTCTTTAAAAATTCCATTTCGGTGATTCTTTAATGCTGTTACAACAGTAACTGACTACATTCCACATAAGGCTATGCGGCAGTATCCACTTCCTTGTTTCCATAGAGATTGGACTCAAAGCAACAAGGTCGTGCGTCTTTTATATTTACTTTGCAGCATTGTATTCCCTGCATGGTAAGTGGATGCCAGTGCCTCCAGGGTTGCATATTTATTATGGCATTAAAAGAGAGAAACGCAGTTTTCTCGAGACGTAAACCAGAAATACTAAAACCGTATTGTGAGTGGGCTGGTTAATAAACACTACAAGGTAAAATAAGAACGCTAACTCGGGCTGTTAAACTGTGAGTATCAGCTTGCATTTTAGCTGGAATGCATATACATTTACTGATTTGTTATTTTTAATAAATATGTCTGTCTTGTATATGTATTGACAATCATTTATGACAACTCTGCAAGAATAAAACAAAAGTGTATTAAAATTGTGCCTAGATAAGTTGCGTGACGTTAAGACTCCCCGCCAGCATCGCAGATCCCTGCCTGAAGCTGGCCATGCTCCTCTTCTTCTCCCTGAGCTTCAGCCTGAGACTCTGAAGCATCTTAAATATAACGCCAAGAATAAATGAGGGCGCCATGTCTCAGCTGTCGGCCGAAGACGAGGCAGAGCTGGAGACGCTGCTGCGGCGCTTGCTGAGGAGCGTCAAGGAGCGCATCCGGGGGGCGCCGTCCGTGGAGTGCGCCGAGGAGCTGCTGCTGCACCTGGAGGAGACGGACCAGAACTTCCACAAGTACGGCCCCCTCCCCGCTTCTCTGTCTGAGCTGGGAAACGTGTCTGTGCATCCGACTGACCGATGTGTCTCTGGGCAGTTATGAGCTGGTCAAGTACCTGCGGCGGTATATCGAGGGCGCCCTGGGGAGGGTCATCGAGGAAGAAATGGAGGGATGCGCACGGATGGAGGGACAGGCGATCGCATGTGGTCAGGACACGCAGGTGCATGACGTCACGAGGAGGGCTCGGGAATCGGCCGAGTAAGTGGTCTCACCCTCAGATATGTAAATGAACTGCGTTTGTCCTGGGTCCACATGAATCTAAGTTCTCATTGTGATGTGATATAAGGTTGAAGACTTAGGTCGTATTATTGAATAGTATTTTGCGGCTTAATGTTTGACTTGTTTCTCCCTCAGATATAAACACATGATGCAGACACTGAAGAACACTATGATGGTGGTGGTGGAGTCACTAATCAATAAGTTTGAGGAGGATCAGCTGAAGAAGGAAGAGATGCACAGGAGGAGCCACCGTGAGCAGTTAGATGGCCACTACATGGACAACTGCTCTGATAGTGACTCCTCATTCAGTCAGGTATGCAGTCAGGAGAACGTCCATACATCCACTGTCCAGCTGCTTATCCAGTATGGGATCATCGTTTGATTAATTCAAAGCTGCTATTTTGAATATAAAACCATGCAGGACAGAGCAGGTCAGTAGTTGGATGAACTAGTTTAGATGTTCTTGGAAACGATGTTAAGATGCTTAAACATGTTCAGATGTTTCTTGGAGGTTGACAGGGACTTTTATCGTGGGTAGCTCAGTCATCCGTCACGGAATCAGAAACAGGAAACGTCTGTAATTAAAGTTGTTTTCATGTGGAGGAGGGATCTTCAGCTGTCATCACCTTGGCGATCGAAGGGTTGTAAGATGGGATGTAGTTCTTCATGAGCGAGTTGCTGGATGTGGATGTTCTCCACCAGTGACTCAAAAAGCCGGGATTAAGGACTAGAACTCGATTCACCTGCCTGTAGGGAGTCAGTGAAGAGAGACGAATAAGGGTGTAAAGTTTAAGCATTTTGCCCTAGCTTGTTTTTTTTTTGTATTTCCTGCTTATTGCAAAAGGTCTATAAAAGGTGATGGAGGGATTCATTTATTTTAAGGGAAGTGTGTGTGTGTGTGTGTGTGTGTGTGTGTTGGGGGGGCAGTGAACCTGTGGGAGTGATGCTGTGATGTCACACTTCTGGAATTGTGCTCAGTTAGTGCTCGTATTGGTTTGCATGTCGGTTACTGGGCTTATGCACATCCTCAGCAAAATGAACCCTCCTCCATGCCCCACAGCCCTGATGGATGGATGGATGGATGGAGTCTGAGTCACTCTGGGCTGTTCACTTTGTATTCATTGTGCACAGCAAGACTATTTCTATTGTTCTGCATATACTTTTTAGTTTCTTTTTTCTACTTTCATCCAAATCCGCTTGCAGGTTTACACATGCTTTCTCTTTTATTTTCACTATATTCATACAGGTTTGTGGTCTTCACTAGAAATTTGGCACAATTTCAGTCACAAATCCACCTCTTTAATAATAACATCTGCTCTCTTCATACATTATAAATCTGTCATTATTGATCATTTTTACTCTCCTAAAGTTCTGCCTTGTGTGTTTTAATTTTTTTTTTGTGGAACAGTTAAATCTGTCAATTGATGCATTGAGTGGTATGACAGCCGCAGAAAGTTATGGTTCAAAAGGAGGCGAAGAGCATTTTTTTTTTTTTTTTTGCACAGAGCTACGGGTTCATGAAGCAGGAGCAGCTGCAGGCCGTCGCTGGGAAACTGGACCAGGCCCAACCCAAAGAGGTACAGGAAGCAGGGCCACTCCGGTCGGGCTGGTCCCACGGCAACGTGCGCGTGAGCGTAAGCATGTCCTGCATCGACAGGTGCGCCGGGAGGCCCTGCAAGCGCTCTGCGCCGCCCCCCCCTCCGACGTGCTGGCCTGTGAGAGCTGGAGCAGCCTGCGCAGGAGCCTCTCCGCAGCCTTGGCCGACCCGGACCCAGAGCTCAGCGTAAGCCGGGCCCTGGCCTCGCTGACAGGACTCCAGTGACCCGCTGGGGGTGGCTGTAGGGTCTGCGGGAGTCTCAGCAGTGCCCCCTAGTGCTCCCCGATGGGCAGGGCGATTTACACCTCGCTTATAACCAGGGAGCTGTATCACGGAGGCGGATTTAAGGTAGTCTGGGCTAAATGTAAGTGGACGAGGATAAAGTCCATTTAAACACTACCTTAAATCTGACAAGTTATCCAGTTAAGTAAGAAATCAGACTTTGTGATACAGGCCCCTGGCCATTCCACCTAGCCGGCTTTGTTTCCGAGTAACTTTATGAGGATGTGCGCTTTGTTTTTTTGTAAAGTTCACCAAACCTCTAACTTCTCGTTTTATTTTCTTCTCCTTAGGAAAAAGTCCTGAGGTTCTTTGCGAAAACCTTTTCATCTTCCCCATTGAACATAACCAGAGAGATTTATACTAGTCTGGGTAAAGTCTTGTGTTTTCTTTTTCAGTTTCCTCAGTTTTAGTTGTATTCATGGGAATAAAGTGATGTGTTTGCTCACTACTGTAATAAAGTGATGCGTTGCTCACTACTGTAATGAAGTGATGCGTTGCTCACTACTGTAATGAAGTGATGCGTTGCTCACTACTGTAATGAAGTGATGCGTTGCTCACTACTGTAATGAAGTGCATTGGCAGTTGCGTGTAATACTCTGTTCACGTACAGTATATGCACATTTTTAGCAAATTTGTGTGTTTTCTTGTCAATACTGACATCGATTTCAAGCTGCAGAGACTAGCCAATAAGCTGCGAATCGCCGCACTGCAGGATTACGGTGGGCTGTGTCTTAGTGCATATAGCTGATTAAGCTCATATCTCCAACCTCTTTTTTTTTACACATAGCTAAAAGTCTGGAGTCTGACTTCCTGGTGCAGAAGCTGAGCCTCCCTTCAGGATCGGCTGTGTTTGACATTAATAAGCCCGAAATCTCACGTCTTCTCAAACAGGTGTGTCATACTACCTTGTTAGATGAAATACTGTTGGTGACCTATGTGCTTTGTTAAGAATGCCTCCCCCCTCCCCCCAGATGAGATTACTCAACGATTTCCAAAAGGAAGTGCCGGCTTTTTGGATACGCCACCCAGAGAAGTGAAGTATCTTTATTCACGATGGAATTGTATCTTATCCGCGGAGTACTGGGTCCCACGTCGGGGGTCGCTCTCCCTGACTGGGATTCTTTCGGGTATTCCCAGGTACATGGAGGAGATTATAGAGAGCACTCTGTCGCTCCTGGCCGTACAGTTTGAGTACAGTTCAGGCCCGCAGTGCACAGAGAAGTTTCTGGAACCTGGCCACTTGATCGCCTTGCTGGACATCAGAGCCACATGGTTCAGAAAGTGGATGGTGAGCATTACAGGGCGGTGCCCATTCCGGCAGGCCTATTGGCGATGGATGGACGGATGGATGGATGGATGTTTTTTTAACTGCATCTTAAAAATAATCAGCTTTTGTGGTTTCCAGCATGGCTACTATAGCAGGACCGTGGTGTTGAGGCTCCTGGAAAGGAAGTACAGGTCACTGGTGAGTGCGTCACATGACAGGGTCTGTCAGAACAAAGGGCACTTTGATGGTTTCTGGGATGGACTGGTGAGATTACATTTAAGGGAATAACCGGAGACCTCTTAGGTACTGATTGAAGTTATGTGTCATGAGTAGTCAGGCAGTAACTAGAAGATGAGTGACAAGTAAATCATTGCTTATTGTGCTTTAATCCAGCGCGAGGTTCTGTACTTAAGCAAGATGTTTTCATGTAGGCAGGGTTTTTTTTTTTTTTTTTTTTGGGGGGGGGGGGGGTGTCAGAATATCTCCCTGTCCCAGTTGGTGCACAGCTATAGCATGGAATTTTCATTTATGCATGCGTGTGATTTAATCCAGTGTTCCTCCAACCAGTCCTCGGGGAGTCTCAGACGGTCCATGTCTCGGGAATTGGGAGAGAGCGAAAGTGTGGACCGGGGTCCCCGAGGACTGGATTGAGAAACACTGATTTAATCAATTACCTATCCACTGTTTTGTAGAATTATTTCACATGCTACACGATGCATATTTGTTCATAATTTCCCTGCTGTGACTCCGCTGCAGATCGGAGGAGCCGTCCAGCAGTGTGTCCATTTCCACGAGTCCCGATCGGCCATCGGGGATCAGGTGGCGGACATGGCGCACGTGATGGGACAGCAGCAGATTGGTGAGTGCCCCCCCCCCCCCCCCCCCCCCCTCCCATCCATG